CCCTAAACCCTAAAGCCTATAGACCCTAAAGCCTATAGACCCTGCTCTTCCTGTCAGGAGCCGCAGCGCCTCCCTCCTCGAGGAGCCCCTGGCGGAGGCGCCGCAGGAGGAAGCCGGAGAAGAGGAGCTCGGGCTCGGCTTTCGTGCATCTTTGGCTCTTTTTTATTTATTATTATTAATAATAATAATATGATCTATAGTTCTATTATTCTTATTTTTACAATTTTTATGAATATTAATAATATTCATAGTTGTTAAATTCTTATTTTTAATTTGATTATTATTACTATTGTTGCTACTTTTAATTATCACTGTTATTTTGGTATTGTTACTCGTATTGAAGGCGAGTCTGAGGGCTCGGGCGCGGGGAAGGCTTTGAGGGACTAGGTCAGATTTTGTTTGCTGGTTTCGGGCTAAGGATTTAGGGTCCGGGGTTGTCGCTTTTTAAACGGGGTGGTGCAGAAGCGTAGGTACAAAGCCAAAGCCCTAACCTCCCGAAGCCACAGCAGTGACACCAGGCGGCAAACGTTTTGTGACTTGGTTTTTGGCACATGCTCCTCGCAAAATTTGGAATTGGCTGTTTTCCTTATTGCCGTTGTTTTTTGCATGCTAGTCTGGCCCGTATCCGTTTCCCTTTGAGTACTGCTGCTAGCTCTAGCTCACCATTGCCACTTGTCCAGTCTCTTTCCAGCGTCACTGTTTGGAGGAGGCAAAGGCGTCAGTACTTCAGCGGGAGGCCAGCCGCGGTATATGCCAGGTCTCGGCTTGCAGGTCATCTGCACTTCCCGCGGGCATTCTTTCACATTCCGGGGAAGCATGCGCAAACATATTTGATGCCGTATGCTGCTTTGCACGGTACTTGAGGAGTCATGTTTCATTCGCTGATGTGTTGAAGGGCTCAAGTGGCCCGGCAAAGACAGGGCAGAGTCGAGACGCAGGCTTGGCCATTGGAAGAGTTGTTGGGTCTTCTACAGTGTTCTGACAGTATTCTAGTGTTCTGGGGAAAGCTTTTTTGTCTCGAAATTTGTTCACCACTCATCGACTCCTTTGAAGGCTTCACTTCTGTTGATCGTGACTTTCTGTCGGCACATCAGACTTTTGGCAGCCTGAAGCTGCAGCTCTGTAGCTGTCTGCCATGATTGCCAGCCAGCGCGTTCCCGAAATCGAGCCCCGCAAGCGGGCGCGCCACCTCTCGCCACCAAAGTTTCAGGCAGGAATTCTCACGCACGACCCCAGGTTCCGGAACCCTAAACGTGATAGACCCTATAAACCACGAATTATATTTACCCTACAGCCCTAAATGCTCCAAGCCTAAACTTCTCCGCGAGGCCACCAAGGCGGAGCTAGTAAGGCGCGCTGCCGAAGAGTATGAGTTCGTGACGAAATGCGACACCAAGCACAGCGAGGTACTGGAAACCGAAAACCGCAGTGCGGTTTTGTGTAGAGCTTCAAGTATGAATTTAAGGTTTAGGGTTTAGGGTCTTCAGGTTTTTTTTTAATAGTTACTCCCGACGACCTGCTGCAGCTCAGCCCTTCTCAGGTGTACTACCTTCTATGTTCGCAGTGGTTGCAGCAGTGGAAAGACTTCATCCGAACCAAGACCTCCCCACCAGGTGCAATTTCCAACCACAACTTGGTTGGGGCGGATGGTTGCCCGAAGCCCAACAAACAGCCGATCAAAGACTACCGCGGAGTGAACGAAAAGGTGTGGAAGTTTTGGCTCTCGCGCTATGGCGGAGGTCCGGAGATCAAGCGCCAGAAATTGGAGTTGTACCAGCAGAAGCCACAAGCACCACATCCTCCGCCCTCTAAGCTGGCCCCCAAAATCGCACCGGTGGCGACCATGCCCTCCATGCCCCAGCCCCAGCCCCAGCCCCAGTTGCAGCCCCCTCCAATCGCCCCAGCACAGCCGTCACAGGCACAAAAGCGAAGCGGCCCGGCCCCAAGTCAGTCTTTCGCTCCCTCAGCCCCGGCCCCCCCGGCCGTGGGCCCTCAGCCTCGGCAGTTCTCCGAGAGGGAGAAGCAGAAGCCAGCCCAGAAGCGCAAGCTCACATGTGACAAGTGCGATGGCAACCACGCCACGGAAGACTGCCCCCACTTCAAGAAGTCAAGAGAGCAGCATCCAGATGCATGGAATCTCGTGGGCAAGTCCCACCTGGTGGCTGCCAGCCAGGCAGACCAGAAGTTCGTGACCCGGGGCAGAGTCGTACGCCAGCCCGGAGATGGTTCCTGTCTCTTCCATGCCCTGGCCTTTGGCCTCGGAGGGACCTCAGCTCGTCATTTGCGCGAAGAGGCGGCGCAGCTCATCGAGCGGCAGCCCCAGTCTCAAATCATTGGCACCGCGCTCCAGGACTGGGTGAAGATGGATTCGGGCCGCACCGTGGGGGGCTACGTCAACCAGCTTCGCCGGGGTGCGTGGGGCGGTGGGATTGAATTGGCCGTGCTGGCCAAAAGCCGTAAAGTGATGGTGGAAGTCTACGAAGCCCGAAAGGGTGGCTTTGCCCGCATCGCCAAGTTTGGCGAGGGCCGGAAGGCGGTGCAGGTGCTGTACCAAGGCCGGCTGCACTATGACGCGCTGCTGCTCAACTGAACATGAGCGACCCATGCGCAGAATGTAGGGATTTTACAGTACATGTACTCAGGGCCCCTTTCAAAGGCCCTCTCAATTTCCAGGAGTTCGTCATGTGGTCAGTGTCTCGGTTACGAAGGTATCACGTCTCACGTCACAGGTACTGCGCAGCACCCTGTCAAAAGGTGGGTGCTGTCACTGTTGAGAGCTGGGGGGAGCTTAACCGTGGCGACTCTGAGCAATCACTGTTACGACTACGATTATTCGCAGTATCTCTATCACAAAAAGCATAACTAAGATAAAAGTAACAATAAGAAGGTATATTAGTTTAAATTCTTTCTAGTATTATTCTTGTAACTACAATCATTAATATATTGTTACTAGTATTCCTCTTATAACTACAATTGTTTTGGTATTGTTGGGGGGGCCTTTTGCTCGAGCGCAGCCAGGCCAGCGGCTCGCGTCTCTGCTGCCACGTGAACGAGCTCCGCCGGGACTGGGGCTGACGAGTTAGGGCTTGTAGGGCTTGAGGGTTTTAGGGTTTAGGATGGTTCAGGCTCTGAGGGTTTCGGGGTTTAGTGCTTTATAAGGGTTATCCGACGAAAGTTGGTATATGGGCTTCCACACGGGAGCGGTGGGTAGATGTGGGTTTGCAGGGGACGGCGGCATGCGAGTCACGCTTCCATCCGAGACCATGGAGTCGAATGGATGTAGCACGTAGCTGTCAGCAGTTTTGCCGTCTTGCCTCAGCTGCTTCAATGGGGGTTTTTATAGGGGGTTTTTGTAGGGGGTTTATTGGGGGTTTAGGGGGTTGTAGGGGTTCTCCGCAACCTTCTGAAACACAGCCGGTCATGTTTACAGAGCTGTCGGCTTGCCGAAATCAGCCTGCTGAAAGCCAAGTACATAGCCCCCCATGCTGCGAGGAGAGCTCACAAAACCTGCTTGCCCGGGAGGTGCTTGGGAGGGGATGAAGGGGTCAGGGCTCAAAGCCCTAAAACCTGAAGCCCGCTGCTGTGTGGGGCTTGTGAAACAAGCCTGAAGCATGTCGCGAGCTTCTGTTCGGCTGATGAAGTTGTGAAATGCTGAACGACTTAAGCCCAAAACACGTTAGCTGTCGCATGCGGCTCTCACCATAGGCCAGCGTCACGCAGATGTCTACGACAGAAGGCCCTGCACTCAGGGTGTATCCAAACGGAAGACAGGGTCCCGGACTGGAATTCAGAACATTCTTGGGATTTGCTGGTGTATGCTCAAACCCCAAACCCTTAAAAACCCTAAGCCCTAAACCCTAAACCTAAACCCTAAACCCTAAAACCCTAAACCCCTAAACCCTAAGCCCTAAACCCTAAAGCCCTAAACCTTAAACTCAAAAGGCCCAACATCCCTAGTTGCTGATACCGAGGCGATGAGGAGGTTGCTGAGGCGCTTGAAGCGGGCAGAGGATGAACGAGAGGGTTCAGGGTTTGGGGTTTGAGGTTTTGAGGCTTCAGGGCTTAGGGTTTCGGCTTTGAGGGTTTGGGGTTTCAGGGTTTGAGGGCTTGAGGGTTTAGGGCTTGAGGGTTTGAGGGCTTAGGGTTTGAGTGTTTAGGGTTGACAGGTTTGAGGGTTTTGCTCTGGGGCCTTTAGGGTTTAGGTTTTTGAGGGTCTAGAGTTACCAGGTTTAGGCTTAGGTTTAGGGGGCGTCGGAACCATGTTCTGGTGCGCCACGCGTGGGGTCCCCACACGCGGCTGGGAGAACTTGAGAACCCTAAAAACTTGCAAATAATGAGTTAGTATGCTGGACATGATGACAGGGTCCTTTGCTTCTCCGCCCAGTTAGGCGAAAGCTTCCTGAAGCCAGCTAGCCACCTCAGCTACACTCAATTTGCAACCCGTGTATTAACAAAGATAGAACAGCTGTCCGACTGGAAGTCTTGCTCATACTCACACGCATACGCCCGTGCATACTCATCCTCCTACACCTACTCGCGCATACTCCTACTCCTACTCCTGCTCCTGCTGTTGCAGCAGCAGAAGCCGCAGCGGAGCAGGAGGAGTAGGAGTAGGAATAGGAGTATTGCAATAACGCTAAACCCCTAACCCCTAAGTCTTAAGCTTTACAACCCGCATAACTCACTAGACTATACCGTATTATACCATGTCAGTCATACAAACGTCTATACACCAGATCATATTATAACATATCTATTATGTTCTCTGGTATGTTAGACCCCTAAACCCCTAAACCCCTAAACCCTAACACCTAAACCCTAAACCCCTAAACCCCGAAACCTCTATATAAACCCTAAACATCCCTAAACCCTAAACATCCCTAAACCCTAAAACCCTGCACCCAATCTCCGACTTTGGAGCCCCTTGGCCAGCAGCAGCCGCCCAGCAACGCGGAGCCTGGCAGCTTCGAGGCTCCCGAAGTCCGGTTTCTTCTTTTTGCTTGGCCTACCTTTGGTTAGTAGGGAATGGAAGAATGGTAGTAATGGTACTTGTAATAGTTCCCATTCCTCCATTCCCTACTAACCAAAGGTAAGTTTTTGCTTGGGGGCTTTCGGGGAGCAGGGTGTTAAGTTAGGGGTGTTTGGGGTGTTTGGGGGTTTAGGGGTGTCAGGGTTTACTTTAGGGGTGTTGGGGTTTAGGGTTTGGGGTGTAGGGTTGAGGCTGGGGTAGCTTTCTTCTATAAAAAAAAAGTTCTGCGGCGTTTCCGCGGTATTGTTGGGTGGAAATGGAGGGGCGGGGGTGCGTTGGGGGAGCGGGCGAGGGGGAGTGGGTTCGGATGTTTGGGGGCCTAGGTTTTGGATTTCCCTACACCCTAAACCGGAATCAAGTCTGCGAGAGCCTGCAGTGCAGGCGACCTACATGCTCCTGGGAGAGGAGCCCCTGGGCGAAGGCCTGGGACCCCCTGATCGAAACCTATGAGCCTAAACACGGCTCAACATTCGACAGGGTTTCCACCTCTTAACCCTAAACCCTAAGGCCTAATCCCGAAGCCGGAGTCTCCGGACGCAGGCAGCTTCGGTCTTGTCTGGCGCTGCCAGCGCTGGAAGTGTGATGGAGATGCCGCAGCAGGCAGCGAAGGGCGCAGCCTAAGGTTACCAAAAAGGTAGAAGGAAAGGGTTCCAGCAGGGTTTCATAAGGGATCTCCAATTTTTTTTATAAGGCTTCCACAGGTTTAGCGTTTAGGGTTCAGGGCGTGCAGCTTTAGATTTCAGGGCTTTGCGACGGAAGTGTCGGGATCCCCGTATAGGCAACACAACGCTGCGGATCCGTTACATCATGTTGCGTCATGGGGTTTAGGGCATGGGGCCTATGATGTTTAGAGATATACCACAGAAGTGGGGGCAAGTAGACCCTGCACCCTAAAAACCCTAAAACCCTAAATCCGAATTTTAACCTACGGCTCAATCATCTGGTTGAAAATCCAGGCGCCTCTCTTGTTCATCCGTGCGAAGACTGCTTCCATAAACCCTCAGACGCCTAAGCCATCACAGGCTCAATCTCAAGCCCTGAAGCCGAAGCCGTAAGCCTCCGCCTTAGGGTTTTGAGGTTTAGGGCTTGGGGTTTTGGGGTGTTTAGAGCAGCGTTCGATTCTAGCTGTTTGGGGATTCTAGGTTTTACGGTTCAGGGCCTTTGGGGCTTTAGGGTCTAAGCCTTTAGCTCAAACCCCTAAACCCTGAACCCCTACACCCTAAACCTAAACCCTAAACCTTGAACCCTAAAAACCCTAAAATCCTAAACCCTAAACCCTAAACCCCAAAGTGTTCAAAGGCCGAGTTCAGGTTGCCGGGTTCGCGTGGCCAGGCTGCGAAGAGCGCGCCGCCAAACGCATCGCCAAGGCCGCTTCGTTAAGGGTTTAGGGTCTTTTAGGGTTTAGGATTTAGGGTTTAGGGTTTAGGGGTTTGGGGTTTAGGGTTTAGGGGTTTAAGGGTTTAAGGGTTTAGGGTTTGAGTTTAGCGAGGACTTTCCCAGACTTTAAGAGAGCCCAGTGATGTCGGGGGCCTCAGCTATCAGTAATTACAACAGGCTTTTGGGGTGTTGGTAATGCTTCAGGCTTATATATTACCCGATGTAGAAATCACGGTTACTTCCTACAACAGATCGCGTTTCTTATTCTGCGTCCTTGCCTCAGGGTATTGAGGTCTCTGGGTACGCCTAAAGCACCATGAAGCACCATAAACCCCTGGCCTTTAGCGATTCATAACAACCGCGTAAAACCATGCAAAATCCACAAAGCCCCATGACAGAAAGCGCCGTATTAGACCGTGTCAAACTAGAGAAAACCGTTGAAGCTCCATACCACCGCGTCAGACACCAGAAAGAGTCCGACAAAGTACTATTGTGACTCTTTTTCTCTAAACGATTATTGCTACGCTTATTAATACATGGGTGGTTCTCTAAATTAGAGTCCCTTTTACGGTCCTTGGGGAACCAAAAAGGGACCCTAATTTAGAGAACTATCCACATGTTATTACTACTGAAACACCTTCGAGCCTCCTTCCCCGCAGGCTCGGCTGGCTCCCCGGGACGTGCGGAACCTGTTCGGCGACGGGAAGCTTGAGGCGGTTGTGGCGGGTTGGGGTGTGGGGCTTGGGTATAAGGTTTAGGGTTTAGGGCTTCGGGGTAGAAGGGTTCCGAAAAGGGTCAGGGTTAAGGGCTACGTGGGTGTCTAGAAGAGGTTCTAGGAGACAGAGAGACAGCTAAAACACATAAAAAGTATAGTAGTATATAATATGTAATGGTAGAATATAAGTATAGTATAATATATAGATTATAAGGAGGGTTGGGACTCCGGGAGCTCTCAGCTTCAACCGGTTGGGATGTAGACGTTCTGGCTGCCGTAGTGTACAGGTCTAGATGCAGCATAGACTGCATAGATCAGAGCAGGGTCGAGAGATAGGGAGCTGCTGGCGGTTGAGCTTCGGAGCTGTTGTGGTTGAAGGGGGCTTTGAGGTGCATCGGAGTCCAGGGTCTAGTTCGTGGCAGTGGCTAATATGGAGGCCTTGAACACTATTTCGGGTACATTATAGCATAGTCATGATAATGAACCCTGAGGAATGGTATGTAATTATTCGGGAGCATGGAGATAATGTCCCCTCATCATATCTGCTTTTTCAGTATACCATATGATGATATACGTCGAACCCCGTAGTCTAATTTTCAAGGTCCCATGTCAGCGAGGGAAAACCCTCGGACCAACGCGGCAGACGAGAACCCACGACTCACCCGCGTTCATGCTGTGGCAGCTTCTTACTGGACATTCTTAGAAACACCTGCTAGCTCCAACTGTCGGAAGCCTTTTGGAGAGGTCCCTTGTTGCCGATGTTTCAGAAAGCAGACACCGTCGGGATCTTGCGTATCATTTCCGAACACGAGTTGGTTGGTCCCCAAGCCTTACAAACTGCGAATCGCTGGCCTCTCATACCCAGAGACTCCAAACCCCGTAACTAAGGAATATACCTTAGACTATAATAACAACCCTATAATATAATTTAAGGTATATTCCTTAATGAAGGGGTTTTGGAGTCTCTGGGTAGTTGACCCTGTTGCAGTCGCTCCTGCGCAGGGAGAGATCAAGATGCACTTGGGCCTGACACACCCGCATCCCGCCTGCAAAGAGGGCTTGTCACACAGGAAATCGCTTGTGGGTGACCGCCCCAACCCTAATCCCTGAGCATCTAGTCTGGGTGTTTTAGACTGGGTGCTTGAACTTCATAACAAAAATTTGCCACACGCGCAGAATCAGACGCCGGGAATCCGAAAGCATCCCGAAGAACATACTTCCAGCAGAAGCAACAGAAATGGGGCATCACTGCTGGTAGTGACGTTAGTCATTCTGCTACTACCGACACCGCTAATTCTGCACGTTTTCTGTTGCAGCTACACTTTGTGCTGCGGCAGCTGCAACTGCTATCACCACGGCTTGCCGCTGCTGTGATGGAACAACTCTGACTGTTGATCTTGGTATGAGAAGCCCCCTAGTTTCTGCGTGCCGAGTGGGCTGTTACCACACCACGAATTCGGCTCGTGCCGTTCAAGACGCCTGACATGCTACACGATTCCATACTTTGCTCTACGCGACTATGCTGCACGTTATTGTACTATACTGTACTATACAATACGATACGATACGATCCGACATTTTATGCCATGCCACGCTATGCCTGCTTCGAAAATTGTGCCATACCATACGGTACTACACTACACCCTAAACCCTAAACCCTAAACCCTCACCATGTTTATGTCGATGACTATCGCCACTAGCGTCAGTGCTGGAGGCTCCGTGTGCAGACTCGGTGGTACGGTGACCCCTCCAGCAACGCTTATAGTAAGCTTTATAGTCACTCTTGAAAAGTGACCGTTGCATGTAGTGACCCCTTTACCATAGACCGTAAAGTAACTCTGAGGCACGTCGTTAAGCTGTACGAAGTCTTCGAGGATGCTGACGTGGTGTCACTGGTCCCTCGGACTGAACGGAACGATGCACTGGTCCTTGTTTGTTTCAAGTCCATGCAGGCGCTTAGCTGAGCTTGTAAGCCTTTCTCAAAGAACATCTGCCGTGGCATGATCCTACAGTACAGTACAGTAAAGTACAGAGTACAGCATATAGTAAGGCATGTACTACTATCTGCTATAGTGTATCATATCGAGGGTTACAGTTTTATCATACAATGCGTTTGTATAAAATCTGCATGTGTTGTTACTGCACTGGTCCTGTGTGACAAAACCTGACGTTGTCGACACCCGATAGGCACAGAATGAAACCCTAAACCCCAAGCTCTAAAACCCTAAACCCTAAACCTGATGCTTTTGGCATTTCGTTTTTTGCTGGGCTGGAGCGCCTCCTGGGTTCGTAACCCTCAGACGTTGCACTTAGAACCATAGTTTCAACCCTGATTGCGTTTGCCATAAAGCTCTTGCAGGCGGGGCCATGAACTGCCTGCAGCCAGGAAGATGTTTCTGTAAGCCGAAAAATCCTCCTGCGAAGCGAATGTCATGCTGTTACATATCATGCACGCAGTATGCATTGTTTGCGCGGATGCATGAGAAAATGGATGGATGGATGGATGGATGGATGGATGGATGGATGGATAGGTCGATACATTATTTATATACCTACAGTTACATACATGTAACTACATAAGTAAATATATGTATATACACGTACACACACACATGGAGATTCGTAGTAGGGACGTAAACACGGATTATGTTGCATGCACTTCGACGGAGCATCACTTTTCGTAGCTGGCTGTGAAGTTCACTGCTACAGAGACTGACTTCGTAGGCCACTGCAGCGCTGATGTGCCGCAGTAGGCAATGCTGACTTGAGACCCTTTCTGAAGTTGAGCTTATAACGCTTATAATCTGCTACGAATAATTACCATAGTATATCATACGTCTTTATTGCTAGCAGAATAAACTATCGTTAGAATTATCGTTGTTTCTATGCTCATTATGATTATTGTTATTATTATTATTGTTACTGTTATGGTTATCACTATTTGTTATTGTTTAGAATACACTCAGCAGGTCATGGAGCGCTGCAATGGCGGCGACCTCTTTGATCTCATTGCCTCGCATGCCGACAAAGGCAACTGGGAAAATCGTACAGGAGCAGCCGGGGCAATTGGGGCTTAGGGTCTGGGGTTGAGGATTCAGGGTTTAGGGTTGTAGGATGCCGCGCACCCGGAACCCTAGCCAATGTTTTAAGCTGTGATGCACATTGCCAAAGCCACAGAGCCAACCTCCTACTATGAACGACTCGGGTGACTCGGGGGATCCCAATTTTCCATAGGTAACCTTTAACCTTTTTGGGGTACTACAATCAGCAAGGTTTAAACCTCTAGTTTCCCTAGAGTACTGGGCAAGTAGCTACAAGTCTGCGGATGTTCGCACAGAGCTGCGACATCTCATGCCGCGAGATTGCGAGTGGGTTTAGTGTGTAGGGCCTGAGATCCCAGAAAGAATTGCCAGGCAACTTTTCCAACCGTACATGACGCTGCCAAGGCCACCTCAGAATTTACAGGGGGTTGGAGGCAGGCCCGTTTTTGAATCTGAATCTGCAAACCCCAGTCTCAACCCCAAGCCCTAACCCCAAACTCTGAACCCTAAACCCTCTATGGCTTTGTGTGTTGTTGATGTGAGGTGGATTGACGGAGACTTGTTCCGCACGAGTGCAAGTGTGCCTTGGACCTCTTTAGAATTTGGGTTTAGTTTCATAAAGGGCTCTGTGCTATGAAGTTCTGTGCAAGATGTTGCAGTCATTTCTAAGGGCTTTATAGGTAGTGCTTTGTAGGGGTTGATAGAGTGTTATCAGGTTTTCAATACAGAGTTGTCAAGAGGTTTATTAGGCTTTGTCGATTGTTTTGTGGGTGATACTTTGCTTGGCGGTTTCTCAAAATTGGGGTTTCCTAAATGCAAGCTCCCTTATACTAAAAGATCTAAGTGCCTTTAGCTCCCACATGCCTGAGTTTCGCTTTATACTTTGAAGCACATTGGGATGCGTGCTAAGCAGAAGGTACCATAATGTACTGACGCATGCCGTGACATCTACTATGCATGAATAAACAATATAATGGTATATCTCCGAGGCATCTGCTTTCTGCCCTGGCATTCCTCCACGATATCCCAGTGGTTCACCGCGATGTGAAGTGCTGCTCGGCGGGCATATGGCAAGTTGTCAAGGGATTCGTGAGATCAGGCAGTTCTTTTCCTTGATCGATTTAGCTGTCCTGGTCTAGTACAAGTACCCCCGTTGAGTCGGCGAATGTGAGGACCCCCAAACCACGCAAGAGCAGCGAATTTCTGAAAGAGTTGGCTCCTCGTCATTCTTTCGGATCCTGTCGGTTGTGTTGGGTTCGTGACCCACAGGAGCCTCTGAGACACTAATGTCCAGATCCACAAACGTCCATGATTTATCCATCACCAGCAACACCCCTACACCCTAAACCCTAAACCGAGCGTATGATCGCAACACCACAGAACTAGTAGTGTTCATGATCATGCTCACAAGAAGTGCGCCATTCTGTCGGTCTCAGATCTCGGCCAGATAATATAGGGGCCTCAATGATTACGACAGGGTTTTGGGGTAGATTATACTATGATTCTGAAGGAGACTATCCGGGGATACTCTGAGTACTGAGTAATACTTGATCAGTCAGTCACATTTATGATTATGGTAAAACAGATCTCAAAACCTTCTTCGACGTCTTACAAATTTATCAAGACATCCTGAGCCCTGATGAGCTGCGTGCTCTTCGAAAAGCTGTTGATTCCGAAACCCTACACCCTAAACCCTGTAATCAAGCCATAAAGGAAAGCCAATCCCTCCTGGCCTGAGTTTAGTTTTCCTTTAAGGCTTGATCTGAGGGTCCCTTCAAAAGATACTAAGGCTCCTGTAAGCGTTTGCTAGTGCAGATTACTGTAAGGGTTTGGGGCTCTTGGGTGTAAGCTTTTGGGGTCTTTTCTTAATGGGGCTTTAGGGTTCTTGGTTTTAGTTTTTTGTTTTGTTTTGGGGGGGTGGTTGGGTTTAGGGCTCTCGGACTCTCGGTTTTAGTCTAAGGCTTGTGGGTTTCAGGGTTGTTGTCTTCTTGGGCTTGGGGCGGTTTCTACTTGGGTTTAGGGTTGAGGGTTGTCTTCGAAGGTGAGAACGTGCTGCTCTCGCAGAAAGGACTGCTCTCTTGCTGTGACTCAGGGGTTTGGGTTATAGGGCTTTGCAGCCCCATGCTCAAAGAATCCCAAGACCTGACTACCCGAACCACTCCACGTGTACACCCGCAAACTCTTCGCCACCCAGCTCTTAGGCACACCCTGAGTCGAATAATACTGGACCGTTCTCTCAGCAGAAACGGGTCTTTGAACCTAAAATGCCCTGAATGCTACAGTCCCGCTGGCCCCTAAACCCTAAACGCCCTAAACCCTGCACCCTAAACCCGAGGTTTAGGGTTTAGGGGTTAGGGCCCTAAACCCTAAACCCTAAACCCGAAGGAATCCCGCCGGAGCAAAATACCTACAAGCTCTGCGACTTCGGCTTCGCTGCGCGACCAGAACCTCCGAGCCTGGCCCTACATTGTTCGCCACGGATTAGAGTTCCAGGGTTTAGGGGGTTTTAGGGCTTAGGGTTTAAGGTTTTAGTGTGTAGGGGGTTTAGGGTTTTAGGGTTTAGGGGGTTTAGGGTTTTTTGGTTTAGGGTTTTAGGGTTTGGGGTTTAGGGGTTTGGGGGGTTTGGGGTTGAGGGTTTGGGGTTTTAGGGTTTAGGGGGTTTAGGGGGTTTGGGGTTTGGGGGGCTTAGGGTTTCAGGGTTTGGACTTTCGGGTTTAGGGTTTATTTTCATTCAGGAGTTTAGGGCCTAGGGCTTCGGGGTTTCAGGGTGTACGCTTTGGGTTCAGGGCTTCGAAGGGTTTAGGGTAAGCCGCGTAAGTCTGTTCAAGAAGCTTCATCATGCAGAATAAAATGCCCAGATACAGTACATGCGCACGCTTGCTTGTTTCGTTGATGTTTGGTGTCTGCTTTCCTAAGCTGCTAGTTGAATACTGCCGCCACTGAGCAACAGTTGAAAATATGTACAGCTTCGGGGTGAGACGTTCGTTATAGTATATATATATATCATAGCATAACATAGTATCTTAGCGTTATTTATTGTGTATCTTACCGTTTTTCGAACACATAATACATGATACTAAATTGGTGTCGGTCGTGCAGAATGTTTGTGTGCCGGCGCTGCTTCGAGCGATCCGCGATGCCGGATTCCACAAGCCCGGCGCCCAACTCCCGCACAACTCCTGATATAGGGGCCTTAATACTTACAATAGGGTTTGGGGGTATAGTGTATTGTAATTGTAAGAAGAAGCCCCCCAAAACCCTATTCTAATTATTAAGGCCATTACATTAGATCCAAAGTGGCCTGACAAGTGCTCTGACCATGCCAGTAAGGACCGCCCGCAGATCACAGCAGTTCAGAAACGGTTCGCACTAGAAATTAGGCCGCGGACTAGCATACCTGTAAGAAATGGGCACCCTAAATCCTAGCCCTACTACCCTAAACACCTAAACCGCCCTGATGTCCCGAAGCCACATTCAGACGTGCCAGCCAAGGGAATACCGGCTGAGCACGCGCATGGGCTCCCCAGACACCGTCGCGCCAGAGGTGGATGGTATTATCGTTGTGACGTTGTAAGGTTGAGTATTTTAGGGGTTAGGGTTGTTTCTAGTATTCGTCGAATTCCAACATTTTGGCTTCCCGTCCTGGTACTGCTTCTTGTGATTCGTGTCGGTGGTGATGGCGATGTGCATAAGGACGGGGACCTGGACGAGGTCCCGGACAAAGATCGAGATGGCAGTTCTTTCTCACGGTGGCGCTGATGCTCTGATGATGAAGTCGGAAGTTCTATTATGAGTCCTGTGAAGAGTCGGCAGTGATAACGATTCTGTCATGTGCCGCCGAAGCGACAGACTTGGTATATCAAAAAACACCGCAATCCCAGGCACCGGTGCCAAAGAGTTCAGGTCAAGGGTCTTTATACAGGATCTAGGATGCACTCGTGTTATGTGGTGCTGTGGAGCGCCTTAGCCTCAAGACCTGCATTTTTTTTTTTTTTTGGGGGGGGGGGGGTGCCCATTCCCAAGCCACAACCGCGATGTCGGATTGAGCAATCAGCATGTACGTGGCTGGCCCGGTGTGTCCCTGCAAGTGTGCCCATGCAAATGCTGCTCCACCCTACACTTTTAACTTTAAATCTAAACCCTAACCCCCAAACCCTAAACTTCCAAATGCTAAACATCGCTAAACAGACGGTCCGAGTGGGATTCGCCCAGTTACTCAGTCTGAAAGGCTTCGCCCAAAAGTTATGACCTGTGGGTACAGCCCCACGCCCCAAAACCTAAAAGCCGAACACCCTCATCATTCAGTCGTTGAGGCCCCTTCATTAAAAGTAGTGTTATTCCTGTTTTTATTCTTTATACTACAACTGTTAGTTGCAAGTTGTGAATTGGTGGTGGTACTGCTACTGATGATGAGCATAAACAAACTCAATAGCCCTTGCAGGTCGTACGTGGCCAGGCGTACTGGACACCAGTCGACTGCTGGGCAGCAGGCCGGCGCATTGAGATTTTAGGTAGTTGTTTCGGAGTTTGGGTTTCAGGGTATAGGACTGGGAGTCGAGGGGATTGAGGTTTGGGGGCTTTGCCTGACCCTGCAAGGTTTACATCGGTGCAACACAAGTGAAGGCCTTGTATGCGGAGGCTGAGGCGGCCAAAAGCTCTTTGATTGCTGTAACCTAGCCGTGCAACCAAAGTAAACAAGACAATGATAACAATGATGCCAATGAGGATGCTAATGATGATAATAATGATGACGGAGACCATGATGCCGAGGATTATGTGACTGTGAGAAGCAGCAGCAGCAGCAGCTGCTGCTGCTGCTGCTGCTGCTGGTGCTGGTGCGTGATGATGATGATGACGCGATAATCATGGTGTGATGAGGATGATGGGAACGATGTGAACAGTAATAAGCTTCGAGTCCTGCTAGTCCGAAGCTTTGCAGGTGTGCTCTTGTACATGTCCCTGAGCGCCACACCGCCCTTCTATGCCACTTCCGATGCAGAGGCTGACATTCTGCTGACGTGATAGTCTTAGTTTGTTCTGAACGAATCAATTTCAAGAGTGGCTTTCTAGCAGCAGTCATGACAGGCTTGGTGATGTACCGAGTAGACGAGACAAAATTCCGCCACGTTCGCTGTCATTTGCATTTCTGCACAATGGTGGCCTTCGGTTGCAGTCGATCCAGGGCTTCAGCTGAAGGGATTGCGCTCGCAGAGAAGCATGCAATGCAGGTTCTCCAGAAGGTGAAGCATTGTTTGTACAAGTGACCTGGCGGCATTTAGCGCTGCAGACGAATGATGCCGTCTTTCAGCATCTTCTTGCGCCCCAAGCTGGCGGACGTGACTCTGTCATTTTCATTATCGGTATGTCTTTGGCACTGGAATCATTGCAGTGTGTTGCGTTGGAGCCCGGAGAAGACAACGATGTGCCAAGTCGAGATGCATGTTGATGTCGGGCCGGTGCCCGGGATATGGGGGGTTATTTAGGGATATCCACAAGATCCAGGACGAAAAACAAGCCTGATGTAGAAGAGCCCCTCGAATCCCGAACCCACCGAGGCTAGAACCGAGCCCAAACTACCCCTCACGCGCTCGCACCCAGCAACTGCAGTGAGGATGGAGGGCAGCCGCTGGGAGCATGTTTCCGGCGAGTCCAAGAGCTCCTTGAACCGCAATTTCAGAAAACCCTAATATAGGGGCCTTAATAGTTAGAATAGGATCTTGGGTCCCACTCTTCTTATTTCTTAGGGGTTCTGACTGAATTTCAACAAACTACATATTCATACGCAGGATAGCCGGTAGCTTTGGCGTGTTAGATGCATAAGCTGTAGAAGGCGGAAGCCTGACTAATTACTACTAGTCTTCCTTCGGGCTCATTATACTTGTACTCGAGCCTACGGCAAAACCCTATTCCAAGTATTACCGCCCCAATATTGGGGTCTGTATATATATATATATATA